CTTTTCCTTTTTTTTTTTTTTTTTGGCTGCACCATGCGGCATGTGGGATCTTATTTCCTCGACTAGAGACTGATCCCCTGCCCCCTGCAGTGGAAGTTTGGAGTCCTAACCACTGAACCAGCAGGGGATTCCCTAGGCGTCTCTTCCTTAAGGAAAACTTCTCCACCCTCCCCACACACCCCTCCCACCCCAGCCATGTAGCTCTTCTTGTGATACACTTTTAGGGCATCCTGCACTTTTGGCTAGCATTTTCAAAATTGCAATTAATTTAATGTTTATTCTCCTTAAGTATCGGTCTCCTTGCCCAGAGACTCTGAACTCTGTAGGGCCAGGACTGTGTTCTCCTTCCTCACCATCATTCTTTTCCCCTCACTAAACACTTGTTGAATGATTTAATGGGTTCCTTTTTGTTAGACTCTGAGTTTCCTCACAACTGTGATGTCTAAGTTCATAATGAAAGGAGTTTGAGAAGCACACAGCTGTACTGGCCATCATCCTATGTGGGGTCACCCAGCCTTCCTCTCAGACTCCTTTAAGCCACCTCTTCGAGGACAAATTACTGACTCGCCCACCTTTCATTTTGTTCCTGACCTCTCTCATCCATGCATCCCTCTTTCTGAGGACTTAGTGGCTTCCTTTAAGGGAGGAAGATTCTGAAGGGGACAAGGAGGCAGTGACTCATTACAAGCACATGGTTTATTCGTGGTAACAGATTACAACGTCTTAGTGGGCAGTGACTAGTGGGCTTGATTTGGTGGAATGCTATGCTTAAGGTGGTCTTGGATTTGGATCCTTGTTTAGTTGTTCTTTAGCTATAGGATGCAACCTTAACTCCTGCCAGCAGCTTCTTTACAAATCTGTGCTCTTTGACCCCAGGAGTTGCATGACTGGGGAGCTGGTTATACTTATCCTCATGCTTCCCCACCCCTTGGCTTGGAACAAATAAAATGTAAGTCCTGCTCTTGTCAGATACCTAAGAGATCAAATGATGCAGTGCACATGACAGTGTTTTGAGAAGCAAACAACAAAGCAGATATGAGCTTATCATTGTCTTCCTCAGAGATGATAGATTGTACATTGTGTTACAGACTTATTTAAATTAATTACAGCATGGAGAATGAGGATTTTCAATGCATCTCTACAAACTATCCCTTAGATTCCAAGAATGGTGCTTGCCTGGCAGATTTCGATAAAAGCATCAAGTGGACTGGAGATCCACAGGAAATCGAGAGAGATCTAGAGGTAATTTCTACAAACAATTTACTTTTCCATCTTTCTGCTTCCTTCTTTGTTCATTACCTTACTCCCTGTGGCCAGTTAGAGGATGTTCTTACTTCAACCAGAAGGAAAGACATTTCACGGCATTTCCCTGGTACTCATTGCCTTCACTCCCTTGCAGACAGCCAAGTGGGTGTGGGGTTGGCCATCGCTGTGGCCCCTTTCTCTATCTCTTTAGAGCTCTCTCTGACCCCACAGGCTGAATAGTAAATACACTGAACATGCCACAGTTCTTCCAGAATTACCGCCAGGAGATTTTCTCCAAAATAATTCCACAATTCCTGTAGGAGGTATTTTCTGCCTAAAGACAAAGTAAATGAGATTTCTTTTCCCACTCTATTCAAACACGTGTGCCAAACTCCTAGGAGGGCCAGCGACTAAGGCCCTCTGAAGCACAGCGGAGGGATGGGATCGATCCGCAACTCGAAATAGACTAAACTTGGCTCCAAAGATTAAGATCCTGAAAGAACTGTTTCTCCAGAGAGGAGACAGAACAGAGACATACGTAGCCTCTGCAGACCACGGCTCCCAGATAGATTCTGAGGTTGTCAGGGCAGCTCTCGCCTGGAGTTTTCCAGGGTGCTGAACTTCCAACCCAATAGACAAGAACTCTCCCTCCATGCCTGGCCTTTCTGGTTCAGTGGCTCCAGATTTTAGCTCCTTCACTGACTGGTGTCCTTCCCAGTGCAGTTTCTATGCTGGCCTCCTTCCTGATCCTTCCTCCCTGCTGTGCCCGGACTCCTGGGGCCTTCACTCTATTCTGCGGGACCTGGTCTGGCTCCTTTATCTGTGGCCTGACATAGGCCCGACCCAAAGTCCCAGTTCCCAGCCAGACTCTGAGCATCCCCCTTGTTTAAAACCTTCTCCCTTTCCCCTGTTTATCTAAATTCTATCCGTACTTTGAGGTCTAGCTCAAATTCCTCTTTCTCTAAGCAGTCTGCCCTGACAACTCTGGCCTGGGATTATCTTTTGTTCCTTATAAACCTAAACCTATAAACTATACTACCTTGAAGAGTTCTCTATGCACAAGCCCATGCCTTCTCTCCCTGACCAGGCTGTGGAATCTCCTCGAGATTCTACCCGTTTTCCATTTGCTCGTAGCCTGTGCCACACCCTCCAAAGTTCCCCAAATAGAGTGATAATTCATAAGCGCTTTTGGCTTGATTTATGGCTTTTGTGTAGGCCCTGGGACTGCTGGTCCTGTACGTGGTAAACCAGGGAGACATTTCTTTTGAGAGGCTGAAGGATCTAAGAACTGAAGAGTTGATTCAACTTTCTCCAGATGAGGAAACTCGGGACATCATTCATCACCTGTTCTCCCCTGGGGACAATGTGAAGGACCATCTGAGTGGCCTGCTGGGTCATCCCTTCTTTTGGAGTTGGGCGAGGTAAGGAAAACTGAGTGTATATTACCGACCTCCAGGACAGAGACAGTGAGTGTATTAGTCAGGGCTCTTTATATATATACAAAATAAAGAAATGCCTCATGCAGTATTGGGGCTGAGAAGTTCCACTATTTGCCATCTTCAAGCTGGTGACCCAGGAAAGCCAATGGTGTAATTTAATCTGAATCCAAAGGTCTGGGAACCAGGGGAGCTGAAGATGGAGATTCCAGTAAGGGTCTGAAAGCCTGAGAACTGGGACAGCTGAGGGCAAGAGAAGAGCCATGTCCCAGCTGAAGCAACCAGGCAGAGAGGGGCGAATTTCCCCTTTCGTTCTATTCAGGCCCTCCATAGATTCGATGATGCCCACTCACATTGGGGAGGGCCATCTGCTTTACTGAGTCCACTGGTTCAAATGCTAATCTCCTCGGAAACATCCTCACAGACACACCCAGAATAATATTTAATCTGGGCCCTGTGTGGTCAGTGAAATTAACACATAAAATTATGGTGAGGTGGGCAGGAGTCAGGCTGGGAATCAGCAGACCCAGGCTTTTCTCTCAGCTTGACATTTCCTGGCTGGGTGTCATTGGAGCAGTGACTTAACTTCTCTGGATCTGGTTTTCTCCATTGAAGAATAGAAAAAGGATGAGGGAAAACAGAGAGAGAGAGAGAGAGCTCTCCCCTTATGCAGATTTTAGAGACATGTTTTTACTACTCTTATCAAAAGCCAAAATCTAATAGTTCTGTAAAGAGTGGGAAGGATGGAACAACCGTGGTGATTCTGCCATTCTCAGCCGCTACAGGACCCTTAGGGATGTGGGAAATGAATCTGACATCAAAACGAGAAATGCTAATGGCAAGATCCTCCGGCATCTGCAACCTGGAACATCTGAACTTTCCACAAGTTTTGCCCAGTGGACGACTAAGGTGTGAACAACTCCTATGGGTCTGGGAGTTATTCCAGGAATAAGAATCTGTGTCATGTGTTATGTTGGTTTTCCTAACTTTTTTATACTATGGGCCTGGCCCAGCCAAGTGGTGAGAAAGGGGATTTTCCTTTCCCTCCTCCCATCCCAGGTCCCCTCTGCCCTTTTGAGTCTCTGCTCCAGGCCAGGCCCTCCTGAGAGACTCATCCAGGCTCCTCTTTAGGATGGCCTTGTCACAGCCCAAGAGCCTTTTTCTTTTCTGTGACTTTCTCTCAAGTCTTGTTTTCTGAGCGAGGTCTGACTAATAATTCTATTTCCACTGTGACAAGAGCAGCTGATTAAATAGAGTTTAGCCCAAAGGAGGTACTCCCCCATGGGGCATTTCCATCCAGGGAGACTGGCTGCCTCTGCTGTCAGTGAACAGCCCAGCCTGTGCATCCATATACACACCTATTTTCTGTATGAGAGAACAGAAAATGAAAAAAAAAAAAAAAGAAAAAAAGATGATCTTTCAAATTCCTCCTCTTCCAGAGAAGGTCCACTCAATATAGTGGAACATAAAAATTAATCACCATTTCAGTCTAGTCAGTACTATCAGAACTTTCGTTATTATTAATGAGCAGACATCTATCAAGTACCAGTATGTGTTAGGCCCATGCAAGGTCAGAGATATACAAAACAGAGTACAGCATCCATGTGGGGCGGAGAGACCCACAGAATGATGGCTGTGGGATACATGCTGGGTACCCCAGAGACATGGGCAAAGTATTATGGGAAAATCCATAACTCTCAAGTCTTTGAGTGAGACCAGCAGCTTCTGTATCTTAAGCCTGATGTAGGACTCTTGCTTCTTCCAAACCCCTTCATTTCTGCATCTCATTTTGCTTTCCTTCCCTTGCTTGCCTCTAGACCACATATCACACTCATAATTGCTGGCTTAACGTCTCTCTTTCTTGCTACACAGTAAGTTCCACGAGGGCAGAGACCATCCGCTGTCTTGTCTGTCATTGTATTCTTGGCATGGAGTAGGTGTGCCATGACTCTTTGCTAAATGAATGTCTATAAAAGTTCAGCTAAAAATTAAACTTGTAGAAACAGACATTTGAAACCAGAGCAGATGATAGTAATAGCTAACGATCACATAGTGCTAACTATATGGCAGCTGTAGTTCTCAGGACTTTCCATGAGTAACCACAGTTAATCTTTACAACAGCCTCTGAGGCAATTAGCTCCATCTTGCAGGTGGGTAAACTGAGGCACAGACAAGTGATTTGTTTCAAAGGCACAGAATCAGTAAAGGGTGCAGCAGGATTTGAAGCTGGGCACTCTGGCTTAAAGGCCATGTGCTAACCTGTAGCTGATAGAGATTGTCATTTTCTTTTCCTTTTTAATGTCTGAGACAGAGAAACAGTACTACAGGCAACAGAAAGGAGAAATCCAACCTCAAGACTGAAGTGCTAATAAAAGTGGTTGCAAAAGTAGAAATAAGTATAGAGCACAAAGCACAGAAGAAGCAGGTGATGAAAGCTATTGTTTCCCTTCTTTTCTCACTCTCCACTCAGTGTTAAATGGAGCATTATTTTCAGACCATATAGGAAAGTCATTCTCTTGAAGGTTAATTATCTGGCCTTTACTTTCTGTTTGAAAGCAGAAGCAAGGTTTGAGAAAATGCAGTGGTGTTGGGTCAATTATCAATCAAAGCCCAAAGGTCCAGAGGCATAAGAAGGAAGGACAGAATTGAAATGAAGAGGAAAGTACAAATAAAGTGCTACATATCACTAGAGAGATAAAGGTTATGGAAGTAATGGAATGTTATCAGTCATCAGATGTGATGATACAGGCGGGTTCTAAGGTGCAAAAATGTCATTTTAAAAGGTGTTTCCAGAGAACAAGATACAACAACGAGGAACCTGGGAGACAAGGGGGTTGGAGAAAATGGGGCTGAACCCAAAGATGCAAGACTCTATCATCCAGAGAAAGGAGCCTCAGTTTTATTTATAAACATGAAAAATTATGGCAGAACTACTTTTTTATCCTCAGATAATTTACGTAAGATTTTATTCTGATTGCACTTCAAATGACAAAAAGGATGCCCAATCTACTGTAATAGAAGGTACAGAATTGAAAAGCAAATAGGAAAATAGAGATACAGAAAAAAAGATAATACAAATGAGACCAAATATTAAATATGCCAATTCCCCTAGAGAAACATTTAAAACTGGTTAAAAATAAAAACATAAAAATGTATTTAATCAACAAGGTCCTACTGCATAGCACAGGGAACTATATTCAATACCCTCTAATAAACCATAATGGAAAAGAATGTGAAAAAGAACATGTATATATATGTATAACTGAATTGCTTTGCTGTACCAGAAATTACAACATTGTAAATCAACTATGCTTCAATAAAAAAACGGGAAATAAAAAAAAAAAAGGCCACGCATTAAAGTGGCTCACTGCACAATGTTATGATGCCGTCAAGTCCACCAAATCATTTAATTGCCAAGGAAGTCGAGGCTCAGAGGTGGAACCCCAAATACTCAGGGCTGGAAAGCCAGAGGTTGGCAGAGCTGGAAAGAGAATTATGTTCTTTTGTCTCCCAGTTCATTGGTTCTCTCCCTTAAATTTCATTGACATATGTTGAATTTTGATTGACTTCAAGTCTTATCTTTTCGTTTTCATTTTCAGCTTTGTTGTCCTGTTGATTTTGGTGACTTGCCCATTTTCCTGGGCATGCAACCAGTTTTCCAGTGTGGACTCCACCTTTTCACATGGCTGCCTCTCCTCGCACACATACATGCTCAGCATTTCTCATATGTGCTCCACACATAGTACCCCCAGGCAGGCTTCTAGTCACCAGTTACTCTTCCTAAGGGACCCTCTGGCTTCATGGTTGTTGCATCTTATTCTTTTACTCCAGACTCTTTCTACCTATCAGAGCCATCTACAAGAGGAAGGCATTATTATTTTTTTATTTTTTAATTATTTTGCGGTACGCGGGCCTCTCACTCTTGTGGCCTCTCCCGTTGCGGAGCACAGGCTCCGGACGCGCAGGCTCAGCGGCCATGGCTCACGGGCCCAGCCGCTCCGCGGCATGTGGG